AAACATAAATGGATTATCAAAAGAAAACTCTGATGCTTTAACAAATATCATTGGATGTTTTCTTAATTTTCTAAATTCATTATGTTTCTTTAATCTATTTTTCGATATCATTGCTTTCTTTCTAGGTTCTTCATATAAATAATTATTTAATAATACGATTAATTTTTTTGTTTCATCAATTTTTGTTTTTTTAAAATTCTTTTCAAAAAGAAATAAATCATCTTTTCCTAATACCCATTTATAATATAATACATCTAATAAAGATCGTTTATCTTTTGTAGTATTATATATTTTCTTAATAATATCAGAAATAGGTTTATTTTTTATATTCAGAAAAAACTTTCTTTTATCATCAACATTTAAAGTTTTTTTATATTGATTAATTATATCTTGTATTTGTCTTTCTACTGTTCCTGCTAAATTATGTTCTTGGTTTGCTTTATCAGGACTTGTTGTTGGATTATTACTTTCAACTTCTTCAATAGAACGTTTTGCTTGTAGTTGTTTAGGTGGTTGTTGTAATTCTTGAATTTTTGTATTTAATAATTCTTGAAGTATTAATTTACTTCGATCATTAGTTAAATATTCTTATTCTAATTTATCAATTACTTCTAACCAAGTATTTTTTAATTTTTCAACATCTTTTTCATTTTCAATTGCTGATTTTAAAATATCATATAATCCATTATTATAATATTGTCTTTGTATATTTTCTAATGTAACTAAATTTCGATTCTCAGTTAATAATGTTTGATTTAATACCTTTATATCTTGTAAAATTTCTGAATTACTTGATATTACATTAATATTTTCACTATTTTTAATCAAATCTAATATTAAATCATATGATTGATTCTCATTTTCACTATAAAGAAAATCTAATCATGATCGTCTTGTTCGATCTAATATTTCTCGTGATCTTTCACCATCTAAATATTCTTCTCTAACTTCATTTATTCGATTAATATAATAATTATTATCTAATAATCTATCAATATCTTTTGATTGTTGAATTTCGATTAATAAAGAATCATAATTTTTATTAATCAATAAAGCTAAGTGTTGTTTTCTTAAATCTTGCAATATTTTTTTTTGATCTTCGTTTAATGATGCATTTAATTGAATCATTTTGTCATGATGTCTTTCATCTAATAGATTACCAAGAAAACTTTTATTTTCTATTTCTTGTTGCATTCTTATCATTTCTGTATTTCCACATAAATTTCTTATTTTTTCATTACGTTTATTATGTAATTCTCATTTTTGTTGATTAGTAAGATCTTTATCGTTATCAATTTCTTCCTGCATATCAACTTGTAATTTAACAATATTAGTTTCTTTATTAATTTTTTCTTGAATATTTTGAATTATTTCTTGTTGAGTATTTCTCTAAAATTTTTCATTTACTAAATCAAATAAAATTACTTTTTGTTCTACTGTTAATCTTTTTTCATTTCCAATTGTTAATTGAATTTCTCATAATTGTGATAAAACTTCTGTTTGATTAATTTTTTCTTTATAATATTGTAAAAGATTTTGTTGTAATTTATTTAATTTTACTTTTTTATTTTGTTGTAATAAATTTTTTCCATGAAATGTTATATCAGATTGTTTAATCAAATTATCTAAAACTTGATTTTCACTTAAATTATCAATATTTTCTGTTTCATTTATCATTTCATTAATTCTATTATTTAACTCTTGTTTACGTTCATCTTGAAGATTCATTTTTTCATCATATGTTAATTGAGAATTTGTAATATCATTATATATTTGTTTATTTAAAAATAAATCTTCTAAATTTGAATCTTTGATTGCTTTTTTTAAATTTTCAATCAAGATAGTATTATTTGGAATTTGCTGTTCTTCATGTTCTTCAGAAATTTGTTGTTCTTTTTTTTCAGATATTTGTTCATGATTATCTTCAGGTAATTGTTGTTCATTATTATTTGAATTATTATTTTCTTTTGATAAATTTTCATTATCATTAGATTCTTGTTTTTCTTTATTCAAAAATAATTTATTAATAAAAATATTTTTAAATTCCTGTTCATTAATAAGAGTTTTTGTTGATCCATATAATGCAATATATAAATATTCTTGAAAATTAGATTGATTTATTTTCTTATCTTCTTTTTTACGTATTTTTATAGCACAACATTTTTCAAAAAGTTTATAATTAAAATAACATTTACACAAAGACATTTTTAAATTTTCATTTTAAATTCAATAAACAAGTATTTATATAATTTATTTTGTATAATAAATAAAATAAAATAAAACAGATAATAATAATATAATTTAAAATAAAATAATAAATAACTAATATAAACTAAAATTATAAATCTTTCTCATCTGGTTCTTCATCTTTAACTTTAGCATCAATCAATTCTTTTATTGCATCAGTAATTTCGGTTTTAAGATGTTGTGTCATCATTTGCATTGATGAATAATTTTGATAATCTAAAGTATATGCTATTTCGATAAATCAATTAGTAAAAAATACTGGATAACCAGTTCCTCTATCTCCAGGATTTACACCTAATTTAAGTTTATCATTATATGGCATATCTTTATTTCTCACATTTAATTGATATAAATAATCTATATAATTTATAATAATTATTAAACGAAGATTTGCTGTATTATAGATTATATTTTCATTTGTTCCTTTTGAAAGAATACAAACTTTTTTCTCATCTTTAGCAAATCTTCGACACATTGTTATTATATGATTATTAAAAGTATATCCATTATCACATGGTATTACAACACTATAATCTACTATTGGTATAACTGTATCTTTGAATTTGTGATAAATTAAATCTGAAGAATCAACCAATACATCTTCAATTGTAAGATCTTTTTTTTTTGCTAATTGTTCTTCACAAATTTGTACTAAATAAAGATTAATTTTAAAAGGTGAGAATAATGGTATTAATTGAGTTTCAGTTTCAGGAATATTCAATTGTATTTCAGTTTTTGGTGTAAATGAAACTAATTTAAATTGTGTCAAGAAATCTAATAATCGAAGTAAAGTAAATGTTTTATTTTCTTTCTGTAATAATGAAAATACATAAAAACGTGTATCTACAAGTAAAAATGTTTCATTGGCAAATTCTATTTTATCACTTAAATATCCAAATAGTCTTGATGTTTAACAAATTGTAAATTCTTTTTCATCTCCACATGAACCAAGTAAACATTTATTTATTTTTCGAATCTTTGAACTATTTGTTGCTAAATTATTTTTATTAAGTCTTCTTTTTTTTGTTATTGTTAATGTAGTTGAAGCCATTAAATAACTTGATAATATCCATATCTTCTACAATTAAAACAACTACTAACTTTTTGCTTTGGTGATGAACTAATTAATATAGATAATTTTTGTCTTTTTGTTTGATTTTTTTCTATTTTTGTTAATTTTTTATTTTTAACAACACCTGTTTCTTTTGTTTTAGATTTAGTAGATTTTGGTTTTGCTTTCGCTTTTGGTTTAGATTTTTTAGCAGCCAGTTTGATTAAATTTTGTCAATAAATTTTATTATTTCTTGTAATGCTTGTCATGTATAAAGTGTAATTATGTTTATAATATTAATAAATTCAGATTTATAAATATAACGTATTAATGTTAATTGAATTATTATCATAAAAAATAAAAATATACTAGCTAAAATAAATGTTAATTTTCATAAAAAAGCAGCTTCCATTTAGGGAAAGAAAAATGTAAAATGAGACTATTTATATTTTTTTAAATTTTTAAACATTCTGTATTAATACAATAAGTTATTAAATTTTGATTTTTTCTTTGTGTTTTTCTTTTTAATACTTGTGATTGTAATTGTTTAGGTTTATGAACTAGTTCATATATTGGAGTAGAACTTTGACTATTAAATTTTTGAATATAAATTTCTCCAGGATAAAGTTTAGTTAAATCACCATTTTTCTTTAAAATAACTTCATATTTATCTGTTTTTTGATTCCAAGTATACAATTTTGGTAAAACAACAATTTGAGGTTGAATTACTTCTCTTGATCGTTTAGTTCTTGCTTCAAATATACTTGTAAAAATTAATAAAAATAATAAAATAAAAAATTTATTTATTTTTAAAAATAAATTTAATTTTTGATGTATATTTATATCTTTTAATTTACTCTTGGACGTTGTTTTGGTCTTTCTTCATTATCACTACTATCACATTTCTTTGATGTCTATTACCAACTATAGATTCTGGAATATCATTTAACAAATCAATATTTGTTTCTGATTGAACATTAGCATTAATCCAATTAGCAAATAAATTGCTAAATAATGAGCTGTATTAGTTTGATATTTAAGAAAATCATCATCTCTAAAATTATTTTCAATATATTAATTCCATGTTAAATATAATTCTTTAGCATCCATTATAGTTTCAGCTCCTAAAAATGCTTGATACATCAAATTAAATATTCTTTTTATATCATTAAGCTTTCTAATAATCATATCTCTGTTATAATTTATAGGTGTTATATCTGGATTATATCGAATATCTTCCATGTTTTGAGTATAATATAATTGTGGATTATCTGGAAGTTGTTCTAACATTTTCTTATATTGTAAAGTATATCGATATAAATGAGTCATTAATTTATAATTTACTAGTAATGTATTCCAATTTATATTATAATTATTTTCTGGTAAATTTAACTCTATAGCCAAATCCCATTCTCTACCATCAACAAAATAATCTAGATCTTGACTATTTTGCATATCTTTTAATAAATCTAACCAAGCTAAATAAGAATTATATTGTATTGTATCTGCTAAATCTAAATTTTCAGGTTGAACCTTACTAGTAATCACATCTTCTATTTCACTTACTATTTCAATTTTAGGAAATATTATATTTGTAAATGGAATATTTGGTTGTTATAGTTGTGGTTGTGGTTGTTTTGGTTGTAGTTGTGGTTTTTTTAGTTGTTGTGGTTGTTGTTGTTTTGGTTGTTGTGATTGTTGTGATGGTTTATCATTTGAAATTTTTTGAGAAAATGTATTAATTCCTTCATTTATTGCACTAATTATTCTAAATAACATCATTTGATATAAATCTATATTACTTGATTTTTCATTTATATATTCTTTTTTTCTTAAACAACAATTAACATATGAATCTCAATTATAATGACATTTACATATTTCTTTAGAATAAACATTTAACATAAAAATTAAAACTAACAAAAATTTAAACTTCATTTTGTTTATCGCAAAATAAATTAAATATACTCATATTTATATTTTTTATAAATATAAAGATTTTTATTTTTACAAATAACAATTACAAAAAAATGAGAAAATCTAAAATATCAAATTTTTTTAAAATTTTAGAAATAAAAGAAACTGCTACTAAAGCTGAAATCAGAAAAGCTTATCATAAACAAAGTTTAAAATGGCATCTTGATAAAAATCCTAACAATATTACTGAAGCAACTAAAAAATTTCAAGAAATAAATGAAGCATATGAAAAATTACTAGAATTTATCAAAAAACGACCAAAAAAACCTAAAAAGAAAACTAATACAACTCGTAAATCTAGAACAAAAAAACAAAAGAAAACATCCAAACCTTAAATGAAAAAACTAAAAACAAAAAAAACAAAAAAATCTGATGATAATGATGAATTTATTAAACATTTTTTTAAATTTATGAATAATTAAATGAATAATAAATAATTTATGTTGATCTCCATACAAAATTGTTTACAAATTGAATTGTATTTTTTTTTGGAAATTTGTTGAAACATTCTTCACATAAATTATGATAATGATTAATCTGATAATTATAATAAATATCTATAACACTATCTTTAAAATATAAATTACATAAAGGAATATTACATCCACTAAATACTAGCATCTGACCACATTTTTTATAAAAATTACATTTATCACATCGTCTTGTTTCAACTTCCCATTTATGTACTGCTATTAATTTTTCTCCTTTATTGTAAGGTGAAACACAATAAAAATTTCCTTTTATATCTCTACTTAATGGTTTTCGAACACTTTTACTAGTGCATATACATTTAACTTCATCTAATATATAATGCTCACATCGTTTCTTGAAATCACATCATTCACGTCTTTTTTTTATAACACATCTATTACATGGTAATTGATCATCAGAAAATTCTACATATGATCTTTTTCCTTTTTTAGTTTTTGGTAAATATATTTTTGTTGCTGTTAACTCTTGTAGATAAATACTATAATTAACTGAATGTCATACCCATACATCACGTTTAACTTGAGGAAAAATATATTCATCAAATTTTCTTTTATAAAATCTATATGTTAATGCAAAATATAACATTGATTTATTATCTAATAAACCAAAAATAAAAAATATTATTTCAGTTGGAAGTTTATTCATTTTTAATTTACTTTACAAACTCAAAAAAAATAAAGTGTTTTTATAATTTTTAAAGTTACACAAATTTATTTAAATTCTATTTGATAACCATTTTTATTTCCAGTTAATTTATCATGTTTTAATTTAAAATTGATTGCTAATTGTTTTGCTTTATTACTATTTCTATTTTTTGTAATATGAAACCATTTAGCTTTAAGTTTACCATTTTCATTCCATTTAAATTTCCAAGATTTAAGAGATTTATTAAAAATAATTCAATTAAATCCTGATCTATTATTTTTTTAATTTACAATTTAATCCATTTTGATGTAGAGTTGTTTTTCATAAGTTATATTTACGATTATCTGTTTCAATCCTATTAATATGATCAATTATTTTATATTCTGGATAAATCATTCAATGAAATTGTAAAGTTTTATAATTATTTTCTTTATCATATATCCATATATAATAAGTATTATCATTTTTTTCTCTATGACAATACCAAGTATAATTTAAAATTGTCAATATCATATAAGAATGTTATATCTGGTGTTTGTGTTTTGACTTGAAGACATAATTTGTAATTAATTTTTACAAGTCAATATTCATTTAGTTTGCATTTTGGTTCATCAGGATTTGTGTATTTTTCCCAATCAGTAATAACTTCTAAATTCTTAAATTTATTTAACCAAAATGATTTCATGATTATTAAAAATTTTCTTTATTTTTTTTTTAATTTTTTATAAAATTAAAAATTATGGGATTACAAAAATACAATATTTATATTTATATTCACTTATAATAAAATTAATTAATTAAATATATTCTATAAACTAAATGACAATTTTCTGGGCTACTAGCCTGAAAATTGTCAAAAATTTATCAATATCCTATTTTTGTCGAATCTCACAAACAAAATAAAGTTTAACAAAAAAATATAATAAATAAAAATATAAAAAATAATAAATATATATAATTT